AGCACTGCAAGTCGGTAGGAGGTGTTCGACATGAGTCGCATGTTTCAGGTGATCACTTCATTGTTGTTGAGTGATTGTAGATGAACAGTTTAGGGCTTAGGTTGCCTTTTATAGAGGTTGTCGGGTTTCTGTCGGCTTGAAGTTGCAGGTGCAGCGTTCGTCGAGTCGTCTTAAGGGTCCACGTACGTAATCGTCATATACCGCCCACAAAACTAACCCAGAATCGGTGGTATAGGAACCGGATTAAGAAACCGTGGTATGGATCATAATAAGTTCGGGGTTTAGGACCCGAGTTTCTTTATCGTGTTCCTACATTACGAGCTTGTGCCCCTGGAGATGCTAAACCGTTAAAACCCCATTCTCATGTACTTTGGACCTTTCGGACGATGCCTCACCATCCCAGCAGCTTCGGAGGCATCTTCGGCTACCAACCTCAAGACAGCTGCCATGCGCTGGTGGAGGAGGCACGTGGGGTTACAGTGAAGTTGTTGTCGGTTAGGTGCTTCTTAAATTTGGGAACGCCTAAGCGCTGGGATTTGGGTCAGAATTGCTTAACGGAGTAGGCTCTGGAGTGCGTGGTTGCTGTGACTATACACATGGAGTAGCTTTTTTGCTTGAGGTATGAGCATCAAACAGCTACTGGAAACCCGTAAACCTAACCGAACCCCTTAACAAACCCTTAAGCCTAGAAGCCCATAGCCCTTAATCCTAACCGCTATGTTAACCCTAAACTCCAAACCCTAGGGATCAGGTAGGGCTTAAGAACCCAGACCCTCAGCCCTCAACCCTTTCACCCTATAACCCTTAAGCTCTTAACTCCTGAGCCCTAAACCCTAAACCTTAAACCCTACAACCCTGAAGCTCTTAACTCATAAGCCCTGAACCCTAAACCCTTAACCCTTAACCCTTAACCTTAACCTTCAACCCTATACAGATGGAAGTCCAGGCTTTCGAGGTGCTCCTGCAGCTGGAAGCATCGGAGCCGAACTATAGGCCGGTTTAGGGCTTGAGGGCTTTGGGGTTTAGGGTTTAGAGTATAGGGTTTAGAGTTTAGAGGTTAGGGTTTAGGGTTTAGGGGTTAGGGTTTAGGGACCGGAAATCCGAATTCCCACATCCTAAACCACTGAACCCTAGACCCCCAACTGCCTAAAACCAGAATACGGGTCTGGGG